TTAGCATATAGTATAAATAGGATTGTCTCTAGGGTTTCCAAACACTTTTCACCTTTCACATTTTCTCTTTGTACGCAGACAATCTGTCTCTCTCTTTTCCCTCTTCAATAATATCCCTTTCTTTTGTTCTTGTTCTATCGATTATGATTCACAAATTGTAAATCTGATATGAGGTAATTTATTGCCACGTCTCGTGTTATTTATGAGGAAAATATACACTTGTCATGATGTTATTTGTTGCCACGTCTCAAGTTAATTATGATAAAAAAGTATCACACACAATGGTGTAATATAATATTTCTTTTTTTCGAATAAATACCTAAATTCATTCGATCAACTCGAAACTCGAATGACAAACGAACTGCTTAATTATATAAAGCATATTTTTTTTTTTTTTTTTTTTTTCCAACGACATAAACTTCTCATTAAAAACGCCAACTGGCAATGTACAAGAGCAAAACCCGAATCCTGGGTAACTGAGAGGTTACAATATCACCAATGCAACCTAGACGGAATCATGCTCACAACGCGAGAAAACCAATCACAACAAAACATAACGAACACTACTACAAAACGACTAACACAAATAGAGAACCCTCCCAACAGGAGAATACTCGAGTGCGCTCCCACCAGGAGAATAAACCATCAAAACAATTTCACTATAAGAAATTTTATATTTTGGGACAATTTCTTTGTCACGAATTGAATTTTGTTATAATTTGTTAAGTAAAAATGACGGATCTTATTTTTGTCACAAATAAATGTTTTATTTATTTTTTTGTGACGACATTAACTTTTGTCATTACATCGCAATTTTTTTTTTACAATTTTATATGTGACGAATAATAATTTATCTCGATTTAGTATGCAATAATGACAGTTTTTATTTTCGTCAATGAAAATATTTTCTTTATCACATAATTTATTGTCGTGACTACATTACATATTTTATGACAAATTTTTATTACGATGAATGATTTTTTGTCATAGTTTTATAGTTGTCAATGTCAAAATTTATTGTCTTCGCTAAAAGTACCTTATTAATGACACTCTTAATTTAGTTATAAATGTACATATTTTATGACGAATTTATTCACAATTTAATCGCCGTGACAACTTTTGTATTTGTCACTAAAAATACCTTATTTATGGCGTTGCTAGTTGTCGTCGCATAATTATATATTTTATGATGATTTTAGTCAAAGTTAAGTATTTATTATTGATAAGTTTTCTTTTTGTCATTGAACAGTGTCTATTTATGATTAATTTTTGTCACAAAATTATAGTATATTTTATGACGACTTAATCATAATTTAATAGTCGTGAATGCCAAATTTCATAATTATTACTGAAATGGACCCTATTTATGATTAGCAAAAATGAACTTATAGGATATCATTTTGTATTATCAATATTAATCTTAAATATAATACCATTATCTATTTAATATTCAAAAGTATTTGTATTTATAATCATCATCTTTTATAGATTATATATATATATTAAACAATGATTAGCTACAATTAAACAATAGGTTTAAATAATAGCGCCATTTTTATAAATTATAAATAGAAAATATATTTTTCATAGATTTAATATAAATTTTTCTGATACATATAGTTATTGATTTATAGATTGTGGCTTAGAAGTATACGCGGCTTTAAGGTCGTGATAAGTCGTGATGTTGTGTTCAATGAATCTGAAATGCCTTGTTTAATGCTTCTTTGCCTGCTTCTTTACCTGATGAATCTGAAAATGCTCCAAATGCGGTGGTGCAATTGACTGGTTTAAGTGATTTCTATAATTATGAAAATATGCATGCTGAAACTGAAACCGAACGTGCTGTGTTTGATAATCAGCCTGTTGAAATTGCTGAAATGAAAATTTGAGTGCTGAAACTGAAAACCAGCATGCTGAAAATGGTGAAAATGTCGATGTGCATGATGAATATGTGAAAAAACGTGCTTGAAAATGATGTTGATTTGCATGATTATCAACTTGCTAGAGATAGGACTAGAAGGGAACGTAAGAAACCTTCTAAGTTTGATGATTTTCACATGACTTCATATACTTTTGGTGTTTTTGAGTCTATTGATAATTGTGAGCCTAAGTCTTATGAGGAAGCCCTAAAATCTGTTAACTATGTGCAATGGATGAATGTTATGCGTGTTAATTCGTTGCATGTGAATCATACTTGGTGTCTTGTTCCAAACCTGATAAATGTTCCTTAGTGGATTGCAAATGGTTGAATAAGATTAAACAAGAAAATGATTCTGTTAGATTTAAGGCTAGACTCGTGGCAAAAGGTTTTACTCAACTTGAGAGTATTGATTATACCGAGATTTTTTCTTCTGTTGTTAAATTCAACACTGTGCGTATCATGCTTGCATTTGTTGCTCATTTTGATTGGGAATTGAAGAAAATGGATGTTAAAACTACTTTCTTGCATGGTGAATTGGATGAAAAAATTTATATGAAACAACCTGTCGGTTTTGTGGATGCTAAGAAATCTGATCATGTGTGTTTGTTGAAGAAATCCTTGTATGGTTTGAAACAATCTCCTAGGCAATGGAACAAGAAATTTGATATGTTCATGCTTTCTTTAAAGTTTAAGAGGAGTTCTTATGATCATTGTTTGTACTTTAAAGAAAATGCCAATGGTCCTGTTTTTCTGCTCATATATGTTGATGATATGTTGCTGGTCGGTCCTTGCATTAAGTCAATTGAGCATGTTCAAAAGCGTCCAAGTGATAATTTTTATATGAAAAACCTAGGGGATGCTAAAAGGATTCTTGGAATGAACATTATTCGTGATAGGAAAAACTCTGTGATTTTTCTTAATCAAATTTCTTATGTGGAGAAGATTTTGAGTAAATTTTCTATGTCGTCCGCAAAGTCCGTGAATGTCCCCCTTGCTGCCCATTTTGTGCTAAGTAAGGATTAGTCTCCCAAGACCGATTCTGAAATTGATTTGATGAAGAATGTGCATTATTCAAATGCAATTGGTTCTGTGATGTATCACACGGTTAGTACTAGATCGGATATTGCATATGCTGTTAGTTGTTTGAGTAGGTACATGTCTAATCCGAGTATGCCTCATTGGGAAGCTCTTAAGTGGTTGTTACGTTACTTGAATGGCTCTATGCATGTTGGGCTGAAATTTTCTAAGTGTTCTGTGGGGGTTAAACTTGTTGGCTATGTTGATTCTAATTATGCAAATGATAGAGATAATAGAAAATCAACAGCTTCTTATGTGTTCACTTTGTGTGGCTCTTGTGTAAGTTGGAAATCACAACTACAACATATTGTTGCTTTGTCTACGACCGAACTGAATATGTGGCTGAGATTGAGGCCTTGAAAGAGGCTGTTTGGTTGAAGGGTCTCTTATGTGAAATTGGTTTGCTTGAAAAAGATGTTGTTGTATTTTCTGATAGCCAATCGGGGATCCAATTATATAAAAATCATGTCTTTCATGATTGCACTAAGCATATAGACGTTAAGTTTCATTTCATACGTGTTATGGTGTCTAAAGGCTTAGTTAATCTTGAAAAAAATGCATCCGAGTTTAACCCCGCTGATATAGGAACTAAGTGTTTATCTGTCGAGAAATTTAGATCATGCATGAGAACTTTGAACTTTGATTCGTGTGAATGATGTGCTTGAAATTGTTGTGTTCTTGGGTAGCGTACCACGTGTTTGCTGCCTGTTTGATGTGTGTGCGAGCTTCGTGAAAAATGCAGGTGTCGTAAGGCGATGATGAAAGTCCTCCGGTCCCTCAAGGTGTCCGATATTCGGTGGTGGCCAAATCGGTGGAGAAATGTTGGAAATTTTGGCCCAACCCAATCCCTATCTCAATCCCGTGGATGTCTCGACCCAAATCCCGACTGGGCCTGGCCCTTACACACCCACTTACGCTGAGACGTTCCTTAACTGTTGGATTTTAGGGATTAAATCCCATCCATCCATTCAAGCCATAAATACCCTCTCTCTCACCACTCTTGCCCTAACTCTATTCTCTCACCCTCTCTCACAGCAGCTGCGCCCAATCTCTCTTTGTGAGAAAACCGATCACTCTTTCTCTCACTATTCTTCGTGACCTTCCTTGTGAGAGCCGGCGTAAGTGACGCTGTGACAGCCGTTGGAGTGTCGCCATCCTGCCGCCTCTGTGCCGTCGCTGTCGCCTAGCTTCCCCTCGCCGGTTCTAGCCCTTGCGTGGTGCTTTCTGGCGAGTCTCTGTGGAAAGGGGAGGCTTTGCGACGGAGGACCGGGTGCGTGGCTCGTGTGTGCGAGGTGCAGCCCGGGGTGTGGGCCGAGGAACCGTGGCTGCCGGTCTTGACCACCACCGAGTCGCGACTTACCGAGGGTGCCGGGTTCAAGGGCGACCTGATCCGACTTCGTGTCCCTCTTCGTCAATCGTTCGGTCAAAAGGGAGATTTGTTCTTTCTCTTTTATTTCTCTATTTTTCCAGCATTTTACTTAATGTATTTCTCTCGTTTTGTTGTTGTTAATCACTGTTAAATTGTGTGTTTGATTTGGAGCTGAAAACGGGCCTGAAAGAAGTACTTTGAACCAACCCGGGACTGAAAGAGAGCTGTCCGGGAGTCCCGAACACGAGCAGCACCTCTGTCGGGCTTGAAAGGGGTTGCATTGCGGTCAGTTGAGTTGAAACCAAAGCTTCCGGTTCCAATAAGTCGAGCGGTGCAATCGAGACGGCCACATAACAAAAGTCCTACAAGGCATGATTTTGTCGTGACCCAAAATTTGAAATCAAAATAATGCAACTCAACCAAAATTTTAATTTAGTTAATTATTGGATATTCCAACTGTTTCTTCTTCAAATTCGACAGACTTTTGATTTATTTATTTTTCTCTTATTATAATTACGAGTAATATAAGAATCACGTAGTACACATGTCCACATAGATGGGAATTAATTAAACAGTTACTTTGAGGTAGCTAAAATCAAATAAAAAAAATTAAAGAACACTTTTACTTAGCCATAAGAATGTGAGTTATAAATTCATCTTCTTGCAGAGCTCAATTACAAGAATTAAAGGAAAAAAGAAAACAAAAAGTCGCTGAAGGGCTTTGAATTTAGAATATGAATATATTATCCTAGAAATAATTGAAAATACATATTTATACATTCTATAATTAAAAAACAGTATCTTAATTAGGTAAAAACATATTGATTTCTTCAAGTCTTCTTCTCATTCTGAACTGCCGCCTTAAACATATTCTTTTCCAGTCCACCAAGCGCCTCAAGAACGCCATAACCTGATATATCATCAAGAAAATGATCTTAATTAACTTCTTAATTAAGCACAGCTAATTAATCAAACGCTAATCATGTATCAATCAATTTATTAATCTCTCTTTACCTCCGAAGGTGCTTGCAAAGAATATGATGCATTTGTGTCTTTTGGAATCTTGGAAACAAGAATCCCAAATCCTTGTCCTCTTTCTCTTAACACCTAAATAAACACATCAAATTAAATCAAATAAATTTGTGCATAAATATTTTAATGTTAATATTAAGAATTACAAAATGCTACTGTTGGGCTGCATAATCGTGTTGTTTAATATATTAAACAACCACACTTTCTTAATAAAAAAAAAACAAGTGCATTATGACACTATAAAATATCGTACTTTATTTATATTGTATTTTAGAATATGAATTTTAAGCATGAAAATTTTATATGCGTTTAAAAAGTATCACTATTTAATTATTAGGGGGGTGATTGGATATAAATTCAACTAGTAAAAAACTAGTTTTTTTTTAACTATAGTTAAGTTTTAAAAAAGTAGTATGGTTAGTTGTTAGTGGATATATTAAAATAATATTTAAATTAAAATAATTAAAGTTGATTTGATGTAAAAGTAGGAGAAAATGATTGGAAGTGATAGTTAGTTAAAATTATGTGAGTGAATGAATAGTGAATTAAAGTTGATGTGATGTGTAATAATGATTGGTTGATATTATTTAATTATATTGATAATATTGGAGATAATAGAGTTGAGTTAAGCTTGAGTTAAATTTGAGTTTTGAGTGAGATATTTACTGTTGAAATTATATACAATCATGCCCTAGACAACTTAACAAAAGATCCAGACTAGGTTTACTAATTGCCACGTTTGAAAACCAATTTTAAAAAATATTAAAAAACCTATTAGTAAGAATTTATTAGTTAATTTATATGTGAATTAGGTTTGGATACCTTAAAAGCATCCTCGTCCGTCCGATCATCGCCGATGTAAACGGGGAAGACATCTGTGCAATTGGCATATCCTGCAGATTTATTTTAATATAATATTAATTCATTAACTCTTTATCCAATACTAATCGGTACCCGTGCGATGCACGGGAGCATTTATTACGTATTTATTTTTTAAAAGGTATTTTTGTATTTAAATTGTCTCATGGCATTAAAAATTTCAAAATGAAATTTAGATGTTATTAAACACTTCCTTATGTACAACATTATTGATTTGATTCTTTGACACGTAAAGTACTACATGGGCGTTCGAATTTGTCCAAATTTGTATATTATTAGTTATTAGTTAACAATTTTTTTTAAAAAAAATAAAAGATCTTATTTATTAAACAAAATTAAAGTAGAATTTTTTAGAGATTTTCACCCATTATTTATTTTAAATCTAATTCTAAATTTCAATTAAGAAAAATTGAAAAGAGTCATTAGTTACTACTGGAAATGAAACCGATTTTTCTACAAATAAACTGATTTTTTTATCAAACAAATTGATCCAAATATTTTTTTTAAACCAAAAAAAAAGATCATCAATTTTTCCTAAAAATGCAATCGAATTTTCCTAACATTGCACCGATTTGTACCAAACATATCGAATTGAAAATAATTTAAATAAAAATTAAAATAAATTGTTAATGTTTACGCAACTGTCTCTTTCCTAAAGAAAATGATATGAACTTAACAAAAAAATGATATGAACTTACCAAAATCTCGGTAAAACATGGTTAAGAAAACACATAAGAATCCAAAAAAATCGATGCATTTAAATTTTGAAAAATTGTACACAATTTTTCCTAAATAATTGGATAAGGTGACTTTAAATATCAATGATGATCCGCTTATGTTACCAAAAAATGTGGACACAATTTTGAATGTACATCCCGTTCAAATATCAGTTTTATTTTAAAATAAAAATTGCACGTGGCTTTATCCAATTTACACAATTTTTTTGAAAAAAAAAAATTATTTAATAAGATTGGAAGAATTGGTTAAGAATTATACAACTATTTGCTTCTTAAATTTGTATCCAATTTGCACGGTTTTTAAATTAATTTGTATTTAGAATTGTTTTCATAAATAAAATTTTTTGCATAAGAATCTCTAAATTTGTTACAAAAAAAAGATATGATTTTAAATTTTGGTAAAAAAAAAAATATGATACGAAAAAAATGGGATTCAAATTTTGCTATAAGAATCTCCAAATTTGTTACAAAAAAATAGGATTTAGATTTTGTTACTAAAGATTCACATTTGTTTTTTTTTTTTACTTTCCATTAATAGTAAGTCAAACATTATATTTATTTGGTCAAACTTTCTATCAATGTATTTTTCCAACAACCTTTTTATATAGATATAGATATAGATATAGATATAGATATAGATATATATATAGATATAGATATATATAGTAATGGATTATTATAAATTAAAGTAATGTTGGGACCATTTGAAGCAAATGATGGTTTACTAAAACTTTAATAAACCATTAAAATTAATTAATTATGATTAATAGACTCACCGAGTGACTCTAGCAGAAACTCAAGAGCCTTCCCTTTGTCCCATTTAATAGTAGGACGGATTTCAAAAACCTGCATGATTAATTTAATTTTAATTATCAATGTATTAAAATTGCTAAATTAATTGTACTATGATGTACATACTTTGTATTTGAATGTCATACTTTAAAATACAATAAAACTTACATTTATGACATTTTATAACATAGTTTGTATTTTGTATAAGTTAATATAATTATGCAGTTTAACAAAAACATTGTGTAATATTGTATATATTTTTTATGGATTATCAATGCAACAAATTAATAATAATAATAACAATAATGATGATGATGACGACGATGACGACGATGATGTCATGTACCTTTCTCCCTTGGCTCAATCGAAGAGTTGGATATCCTTCTAACACTGATCCAACTTGTTTGGCAAGTTCAATCCATTTCTGTAGTTCATGAAATTATGTTATAAAATCAGTATTTCTTTTTTAAATTTTATTATTATTCATTTTAATTTCATCAAGAAAGTAAATATGGACCCCATGATACAGCTAGAAGTGATTATATATTTATATATCTTTGAATGAAAAAAAAAAAAAGGAATTAATTAAGTACCCTCTCATCAAGACAGCGAAAATGTACAGAGACGCAGAATTTGTTGTTCTCTACCCGAGCACCTGGAGTAGACTTCGTCACCTCCAACAAGGCTTTATATACCTGAAAATATTTCAATATATTTTCACTATTAATATAATTCATAAAGGTTCACGTGTATATAGTTGTTAAAAAAATGAGTTCAAGCTCGTTATGAAGTCAAAATGAGGTTCCATCTCAAAATTGATGGAAGGAGGAGTAGCCCATTAGTCTTATAAGGTGGGTCTATTCACGCCCCCTTACTTGTGAGTCCTTCGAAAGCCCAAGCCCAACTGGCTGGGAAAAACCTTCGAAAGCCCAAGCCCAACTGACTGGAAAAAATGGGTACGTTATCGCACGGTCCCACATAGAACCGTCTCTGATACCATGATAAATACGTGAACCTCAATTCGTTTCTCAAAACCCTTGCTTTTGATATTCACAAGAGCCGAATATATAAAGATACAAAGGTAGCCCTAAAACCAATATACACCAAATCTCTAAGATACCAAAAATCTATCTATACCAAAAATACTATTCACAAAATCACTCTACCAGACTAGATAATACTTATAAACAAAGATTTTTTGATTTAAATAAAATGATAAAATTACCTCATCGATCATTGGAAGAAATTCAGTGGCTGCTTGAAAATGAACAGCTCGAGTACTCTGCTAAATTCATATAATAAAATAAATGTAACAATGAGAACNGCAAAAACAAAAACTCACTTTCATATATTTGGACCCTTTGGATGGGCCTTTGATGTCCATTCCATGGCTTCCAGCATAATACAGCTCCGCCAAACGAACAAAACTATACACCTAAACAACACACAACATAAAGCAAAAAAACTTCAATTATACACAAATGTCCACACTCAAAAGTTACCAATCTTTCAAACAAACCAAATAAAATGAAAAAAGAAAAGAAATTTGTAGTCACCTTGTCCCAGCACCTCCCGCTAACGATGGCGGTCGGAAAATACCTAGCAAGCTTCTTAACGGTTGCTCTCATCTGCAAAACCAGGATGAAAAACACGTAAAAAACCACGCGAATGATTATACATAATTTTATTTTTTCCATAGACATTCGAATTCTAAACGCGTAAACGAACTATCCTAACCGACTCGGACATGAAGGCTTGATCGGGATCGTCTACTATGGGAGAAAGAGTGCCGTCGTAATCCAAAAACATGACTATTTGCTTCCCCTTCGAAGCACTCAAGATTTGGTCAAACGAGTCCAGAGCCGACGGACGACACATCTGTTGTTAAATGTAATTACGTTAGTGTCCACGTGTTGTGAGTGTACTCAATTCAACAACATCTATTCCAATAACACTCGCATTTGCTTGTTTGNTAGATGAATCTTATAAATGGTGTGGGGCTTACTAGAAAAGAATTGTGACCCGACGAGATGGCTCGGTTATGAGTCGGAGAACAAGAAATCATAGAATCAATCCATGAGTTGATGATTCTCGAGCCGCCATTGGTTTCGATGTTCGGAAGCAGTTTCTTGTCTGAGACTGTGACGAATTTTTCCGGCGGCTTTTCGGAGGCCGCCGGAGTGAAAACGGGCAGGCCATGAAGCTTCAAATTTGCAACAACCAAGTTTTGTTTGGCCATATTTGTTCGTTAACAAAACCACGTTTTTTTTTTTTCTCTCTTCCAAATCTTTTCAAGAAAACAGAGGATCTATGTTTTTTATGGGATGGAATTAAGGGAAAATGAATCAAGGACGTGATTTGTATGGAGGGTATAATTTGATAGAAGATAGTAAAAAAAAAAGGGGCAAGAAACTCAAATTTTTGGGCAGCTTGCAAGAACAAAGGATTTCCTACAAAATAAAGTTAGAAAGTATAATGAAGACAAAATAAAAGAAGGGAAGGGAAAACAGAGTAAAATACGAGTTCTTTGTGTGTGTGTTTGTGTGAGATTTTAAGGTGGTTTTGTGATTGATTTATAGTTGTGTTGGGACACTGACAGACGAAAGTCACTCCACTAGTCTTGCGTGGGCGACCACACGAAACATGTCGGATTTTTTATTTTAATTTTTTTTTAGCCTCAAGAGTATGAAATAGTATCTGAATTGATAGTATTCTTCACTTGAAACCGAATTCCAATCATACAGAATTAAGTGGGAAAATACTATTCATCCTCTTATAAAATATATATGATACCAATTTTTTATGTTTCAAAGTATGACAGCATTTAAAAACTTTAATAGGCATATTCATAACATTTAGTTTCTTATGTTCGAAGTATGACGGGCATTGTTTGGGCCCTTGTAACACTCCAAAACACTCATTCATCCTTTGGTTGGGAGCGGTCAATCGGCTTCGAACAAAAGACCGCCTAGATTTCCTTGCGATTGATCCGACTTAGTACAACAGATAAAACTTTGAAGCACCTCTTCTTTGAATGCTCCTTTAGCTTGGAAATTTGGGATGTGATTCATGATTAGATTAAACTTCATCATAGGCCATTAACTCTCAAGGGTGCTCTAAAATGGATCAAGAGGGAGGCTCGGGGGGGCAGTTGGCAAGCCAAGTTGAAGAAAGTGGCGTTTGCGGCTACTGTCTACTTCATTTGGAATGCTCGTAATAGGTTAGTTTTTGAAAATGAAACTCAACCTAAGAGCCTTGTGATTTGTAAGATCAAAACTCATGTTTATTGTACTATATTTCGATATATCCGAATGTTCTTGCCGAAATGAAGTGGAAAGCCCGTGGGATTGGATTGGCCTAACCTCCATTTGGACCCTTATTTGGAGTTTTTTAAGGGTTTTCGACTCCCATTATTTTGATTAGCGAGTGAGGAACCGAGTATGTGGTTACCCACTAGGCTTTTTGTTTGCCGTTTCACGGTCGTTGTAACACCATTTTTTATCGATATATTTAATTTGCCGATAAAAAAAAGAAGAAAAGAATAACCCCAGACATGTAACTCTACAATTCCTATAATATGAATATTGTATTAATTAAATTGCAAATAAAATTTAAATGAGTCTATAGCTTTCTTGATTCTCAGCGGCAGATACAAAAAATTACGTCAGCCTAGGCAAAAGAAAAAAAAAATTTAGAAAATATTTCTTGGTATAACAATATCAGACTCTAAGAAAGTAATGTTTTAATTTGGAAAGTATATAATTCTTATAATGAGGTGGTCGAATCTTTAGGCATGTTGATTCGTCTTATTTATAAAAAAATACTTATGTTATGAAATATCATAATTTTATTTATATTGTTGATTAAACTATGACTTTCAATTTAATAACATGCATATATAAAAAATATTGAAAAAAGTATAATTGTGTAACTGTTAAGCCTGATTGAAAACAACTTTATTATACATACGCTAATACAATTAAGCCTTAAAAAATGAGATCTCAACTGAAACTTTTGAAGTTGCCCATTAGAAGCGAGACGGGCTTACATTACCGTAAGCACAAGAATATCGAAAATTCTAATTTGATACTGAAAAATTAATGATCTTGCAATTTGTAAGAATTTCACTCAATTATTGAGAAAATATAGTGTGTCTTTATTGATTTATTTTCTTTTTTGTTTATGATTATAATGATTTTTACTGTCATTTAATGATTATTGAGAAAATATAAAGTGTGTTGTTATTGATATATATCCTTTTGCTTATGATTATAATGATTTTTATGGCATTTAATAATTGATGAGATGTTAACAGTCATTTTGATTCGGGCATATTAAACAGAAGTAGGAGCCATCCTCTTTTGCTCTATCTAATCTCATTTACACCAAATTTTCCCTACCTTATTATGTAAAATTGTACTAATATACTTATCAAAGAAATTTCAGCCTAGCCAATTTCCTAGGCTGGTCCATATCTCCATCAGTGCCTGGAGCACGCAGTCACCGAGGCACGCCAGAGGCGCGTGCTGGTTTCCACAATAGGGGCGACGGGTCACTGTTGATTCTGAATACTCATCTTAATCTCCAGGTAGGACTCGTATTTGACAATGATTTATTTATCTCTTCTCATTCTTTTTATAAAGCTTTTTGTTTTCAAGTGAGACAGAGATGAACATATAGTATTACTTAGCAATGGATTTTAGAACTTTTGAAATGATAAAACATTTCCTTAAAGTAAACATATTTTAAAACCTAATAGATTTATTACATGTTATTATTATTTTTTTATAAATATCACATATCAAATTAATCATCTTTTGATAATCTTTGATTTGACATCTATATTGTATGGCGACTAGGACTCTTTTTGGATCACGATTTCAAAATGTCTGGATCACCCTTCCGCCCCCAAACCTCCACCAACTCTTATTATATTGTGTATATAATCATAATTTTATATGTTATTTTTTATAATTTATAATCTTATATATCAATCTCGTATTCTGAAACATTTAATGTGTGTTTAGACTTTTATGCTATTAGAACATTCAAAATAATCGTAAAATACTTGATTAATTTAAATTTATTTCAAAAATTAATAGTATCTTGATACATAATGCATGAAGTTAATTATCATTTGATGATTATAAATAAAACTAATAATTTATTTTTTAAAAAAATATTTGAAATAAAAGTTTTAATTTTTACAAATTATTATATCTTTTTAAAATTTAAATCCGTGTACTGGAGGAGTGTTTGTACAAAAACGTGAGCTTAACCACAATAGCCGAACCCACTGGATTGGAAACCGGGGCGGGTTAAAAAATGGAACCGAAAAACAACACGTCTCTAAACAAGAAAAGCCACAAAAAAATAATTACGCAATCCTTACTAATAAACATAGTAATATACTTGGTGGGTCAATGAAAACAAGTAGCTCAATACCTAAACCGTGTTTATCAAAACCAGCTGCTAAATTAAATAATTACACGTTGCTTTATTTACTCGTTTTATAAAGAGTTTTAATTATTCAATATTCTGATAACATCAATCTTGTGAGATAGGTATAGATTCTTCACATTCAATTGACAACTTTAATTGTAAAAATTGAAGAAGAGTAAACATAATTAAGTCATTTTATATTCTCTCTTGGATACATATATAAATAAATAGGTGGTCTTGGTTTAGTCTTAGGAGAGACATGAACAATAAATAAATAAATTTTATTACGCATTTTGTCCATAGTGCTTTCGTCCTGATATTTTTCAGTTTGTCGTATTTAAGAAAATTGCGTTCCACATGCCTCGATATGTATCTTATACTCATCTTAATTTTTATTTTTCCTTTAGGTCTAGTTTGCTACATCAAGAATTTCATAATGTTTTCTTCAAATACAAATTTTTCTTTAATTTGAGGCGGTATAATCGTAAGGTATGTCGACTCATATTTATCCTACAAAATGACATGTTTTATTTATGTTATTTTTTAAAATATGTCATATCAATTTAAAAGTGTGTTTATCTAACGGTTGAATTTGTCTAAAGTAACCTAACTATTCTTGAATAGTTCATTTATATATAATTGAAAATGAACATTCATACTCAAAAACCCATTTGATAAGTCCTCTGAGAAGAACAAGATGGGAAAACTTTGCAGGTTAATTAGTCCAATTTCTATACATCTTATTGCAGCTAATGATTTACTTCACATTGAACTTTTGTGATATATTGGTCTTTTCTAAAGGATTTCCCACTTGGTAAATTCAGTTAGTTTGTTTAATTAAAGTTGTTTAAATTATGTGCATAACGCGCGTTCGAGTGAGTTAATTGTGCATTCACATAATAAACCATTAATATAATCAATCATCAAGTTTGAACATAACTAGTATTCGACCTTGTGCATTTGCACACATGTAAATAAAATTAAATATTATAAATTATATTTATATATATAATATTAAAATTATAAGTTATATAATTGTATTATATTTCAAACATATAGTATTATAAGTTATATTTATGTATATAATATTAAAATTATAAATGATATAATACTATTATATTTTAAAATTTGATCATTGGTTAAAATAAATAGAATACACGATTTGTACGAATCACTATATTGATTGCATAAAATGCAATAAATATATACTTTTTATAATTTTGAGTGATCATAATCAATTAATTAGCTGAAAAATATTACATTTATTATAACAATTGTTTATGTGATTTTAAGAAATTTTACTATAACAAAAAAAAAAATTAATTTATTAATAAACAACACCTTCATCATATAAAAAGATATTGATTTTAGTGTAAAATATAATTTTATGTAACTTTCATATATTATTTAGTATAAAATATAATTACTAATTTTAATATTAACTATTATATTATTCAATAAAAAATATAATTATTAATCAATTAACATAAAATATAATGGTTTTTGTCTTAATTAACCCAAAAAATGTAATGAGATATTTTCTTATTAATGAGATTGGGTGTATTAATGCCACATAAATAAAATTTATTAGGTTCTATTTATTAGATTTTATTACTGATTTGCCACATAGGTAAAATTTATTAGGTTTTGTTTATGAGGTAAAATTTATTGCTTACCTAGCAATTATATATATATAGATTATAAAATAAAAGGCCCATGCTTTAAATGTGATGCCATGATGTACTTGCATAATAAAGAATTCCGTTTAATACATATGTAAATTAAGTTGTTAAACAAAATAAACTGTCAGTGAACTTGGCTCTAGTTATTAAGGCTCAAGCTCGTTTCATTAATGATTCGAGCGACTCCACACTTTAAGACTCGAAATAATAACTTTTACATAATTTACAACAGTTCGATTTTTTAAATTGATAAACGAGTCAAGCTAGTTTAGTTAATGATCCGAGCCTGAACTCGAGTATCAGAAGCTCCAGCTCAACTCGATCGATTTGTTTAAACCCCTATAAAACACTATTCCATATATGTATAGAACATCATTTATTGATCTAATTAATTGAAAATTTTGTTATCCTTTTCGTGAATTTGAAATATGAGCATAGTATA